TGAATTACAAGTACAATAGGCAGAATTTTAGCCTAATCCATTAGTAGGAAACTGGAAAGGATTGACTATGCTAGGACAAGAGGGCATAGCCTCAAGATTAGAGGGAGCAGATTTAGGACTGAACTGAGAAGGAATTTCTTCACCCAGAGGGTTGTTAATCTATGGAATTCCTTGACCAGTGAAGTAGTTGACACTACTTCAGTAAACGCTTTTTAAAAAAAAGGTAGTTTTTTTTGAACAATAAAGGAATTAAGGGATACGGTGAGAACGCGGGTAAGTGGATCTAAGTCCACGAAAGGATCAGCCATGATCTTATTGAATGGCGGAGCAGGCTCGAAGGGCCAGACGGCCTACTCCTGCTCCTAGTTCTTGTATGTACACTGACTGTGGTCATGATTTGGAATGAGGTCTGTGTCTTCAACTGTGTACAAGTGGAGGTTAAATTCTCCTGCTGACAGGTGTGCTCCTGAGAATTTCAAAACCTTTAAACATGAAAACCCAGAGGAGGAAACAAGAGCATTAAAGTTTAAAAGACAATGATCCATTTAAGCCAGAAGATTTTTTGTTAGACTTTGACCCTTGATTTCTGCTATGGTATACGAACAGTGCACTCAAGTACACCCAGAGAGTTCAGGCACTTAAAAACATCAAGGCCCCACTAAAGTAGGTTTCCAGAATCCTGCCTGGCATGTGACCAAATTCATTACCAGGGTATCAGGATAAATTTTAGCAGGGAATCAGCTCCAGGACGTTGCAGTTGTCATAATCCATCTCCAGCAATCAGAGGGAGGAGGGCTCTGAAGAGGCTTGTGGCTGGGAATGTTCTAGCATCATTAAGAGGTGAAGGCAATTTTTATAAAGTTATTCTGATCTCTTCTGACCAGTAGTTCTGCCACGGTTATCAACAGAGCAGGACCAACCCTCTCACATTTTCATGTTCAGTAGGTCTCCACTCAAGAAAAATAATATTTTGAGAAATATGGAAATCAAATCAAGCATTTATATTACAATGGCCCCCAAAACCTTAATGGAGCTGAAAACTTTAATGTAACTATTGGTGAATAATAAGGCATCTAACTTGATTACAATATCAACAATGAAACAAAGTTCCAATTGGAACACTTACTGTTGATAAACAGCTATTGCTGTTACTGCAATTAAATGCAAGATTCACCTTAATGGAGGTAGAAAGGTCAGCCAGGTAGGGTGAGTCTATACACATGTTACAATGTGCCTGACTAGAGTTTACTAACATTAAATGTTGGAAGTTGGCAGGCTCCACATGTACATGTCATAAATAAATGAATTTCCCCACTCAATTTCTAGGTTTCACCCAGGTGATCCTTTATGTTCAAGTACAGTAAGAAAGGAATATCCATCCTTGAAGGCTGGTTATCACACTCTCCTTCTGCTGGGTTTGTAGGCAGGGATGATCCTAAAGTCTTGTGGATGTTCTCCTACCACCTAACTTTTTTGAATTTTCACAGAATGAGGGGAGATGCAGAAACCCAAGGTACTTTTCAAACAAATGAAGACCACGTTTGTGGGTCCCTGGGTCATCATGTCCTTTGCACCACCACATCCCCTTCACCCCCATTCTAAACCTCCTTTTAGTTGTTTGAATGTAACCCACTGTCCATCTCTTACCTGGCCTTCTCATCCTGATGGGTCTACCAGTATTCTCAATAGTGATCACTGCACCCAACTGCTGGGATTACAGAGATGGCTGACAACTCTCTAAGGTGGGAATTCCTCTGGAGATAGCAACACAAATCTTGGCTTAAAGCAATTAACCTTGCTCCCACCTTCAAACTTTGGGGAAGCCATCAACATCATGGGCAGGCTGCCCTCTCCCTTTTTAACTGGCTATTCAGGGGAGGGTAGGATATTGGTAGGAACAACTACATTCTGTGAAATCCAATCTTATGCCTTTCTTCCCAGATGGAAGATCTAGAAAGAAACTTCATGACCACCTTTGTTCACATTTGTCATGGTGTTGCAATGTGAATGAGGTCTTCTCTCTGAGTTTTAAAATTTGCAAATAAAATGTGTCAATTCAGTTGTTTAGAGGTGCAAATCCATCACATGAATTGGACTGATCAGTATATGAATACTTGTTGTGGGAAATAGAAATTATCATCTTCACCTTAATTGGGGAGTTGTCAACTCCTTAAAATATGGTGCTTCTAATATGCACTTCATTGCAATTGGCCAGCTTGTTGCTGGGAAATAGAAGCAGCAGTCATTTTGATTGATCATTGAATCAATCAATAAATCAATTGATTCTTTGAAATGGAGCTCACACCTACCAGTGAATTGATGTTTGCACCGGATGATGGTAGGGAAAAAAATGTTTAGTTTTTATTCCTAGTAGTGACAATAATAATATCAGTAATAATGGCATTTTTTTGAGCTAACAATACTTTGTTAAACATGATTTTATTAAATACACACAGCATTTAAATTTTTAAAATATATTCTTTTTGTAAAATGTATTTGTTTTTTAACAAAAGACTTTTCCAAAGTGCCCACACCACATGGGTTGCAAGTATATAGGGATCATACTTTCCTTCAAAGAAGAGATCCGATAGTAAAAAGTCAGGTGTTAGTTGTTAAAAACCAGTGTAACTTTAATATTGTTAAATTTGGTTTCAATTGCTGGACTCTTTAGATGTAAATCCATCTGTTTGCATTTCGTTTTGTAGTTGAACATGAAGCAAACATTCCTCAGTACAACCTGCGACCGTAAAAATAAATATTTAACTTGAACATGGAAAGGAATGCAGGTCAATTTCTATCTTCACTACTTGAACAGATTTCTGGTGAAGTGGATGATCTGCCTAATATAGAACATGCCTAATTTTCATTCCATGAATAACATCAGCTGAAGATGAAAATCTCTTCGATGCTCCTGTTGTTAACTTCCCTGCAGAATTATACAGACAAATCAAGATTGGGTTTAATGATTTAGCATGCAATCATTGTTTCAAGATCTGACTAAGCACTAATAGTGTTAAATTGAAAGTATGCTATTCTTAATATTGTTCAGTTTTGGATAATGTTGGTAGAGATCCTTGTGAGGGGAGGGGGAGGGGAGGGGAGGGGTGGGGTGGGTGTAGAAATTCATGGAGTGGCAATCAAGTTGCGAATGATATCCAATTCGCTAACATCCACTATCTCCTGTTCAGAGTTTTTGAAGTCGATGGGACTGAACATTGAACTGTGAATCCAACTGGTGGCTTGTCGTAGTGTCACTACCTCAAGCCAGGAGGCCCACATTCAAGTTCCACCTGCACCAGAGGTGTGTCATAACATCCATGAATAGATTGATTGATTGGTTTAAGAAGTTTGGAACAGGTGGCTGCTTTGATATTTTATCATCCCACCCAAGGTGAACGTCTGCCCCATGATGTCCAGACTATATTAAAGCATGAAAGTTCCACGTAAGTCAGCCCAGGTTTCCATTTTCAAAACACAGCCAAAAGGCAGTTATTGTTCAAAGCAATATCTAATTTTTTTACATTGTCTGGATTGGGTTCATCATCAATCACAGGACCTCAAAAAAACTACATCTTCCACAGATGGTACACTCCCTTTTGGATGTTTTCCCTTAGTTTTGGATTAATAGTAATATTGCCAATGAGAATTAGCAAGCTGCTTTTACTCACGAAATCATCAAATGTGTATCTCAAAGAAAAGATTGTGAAGTTGAAATGCTCAGGTATCATGTTAAGTAATGGAACAATCACTGTACTCCTGTAGTGTCATAAATAGTGATTTAAATTTAAAAAATGGAAATATAATTCCAGGTTGCAACATTTTTCCATTGATCATAATAATTATCAAAGAAAAAACAGAAGGGGTTTTGAGTAGGCAGTTAGAGAACATTTTCACAAGCACGTTTTACTACAGTTTGATTCTTAATAGCCCTGCCAAAATACCAAATAAAGCATAACAACAAACCACAAATACAGCTAAGACACATATTTGAGACATTTTTTACTGCAGATTTAGTTTCCCCAAATACTACAGGACCAACACAGCACTAATACAGATACGAAAATCATGTTCCTTTGATACAGATAGTAACAAAGATAATCACCACAGAGTATTTCAACAGATTGGTGCATTAAAAAATAATATTAAATACAACTTCTAGCCTTTAATTTGCAATAAATGCATGTAAATGTACATATATCCCTGTGTTCAAACTCAATACTTGCTGTATATATTAAGGTAGAAAACAATATCTAGTTTTACCGATAATAGCAGAAGCAGTGGGAATAAGAAACAAATCTCTCTTCACTATTCTCAACTACCACATTTGTTTGGCTCTTACCTTTCATCTATAATTTCACGTGACCTATAAAGGCTTTCAACTATTCACATATACTATCACTGCCTATTTCTTCCACAGCTTCACATTTACTTTTGTGTAGGAATAGAAAACAATGATGTGGGCTATTCACTGAAGACCTTCGGTATTCAAAGTATTTTCCTGAAAAGCTATATGATAGCAGTTTATCATAGAGTGCTAACTCCATCCGTTATCATTCAGGAAAAGTTCTAACATTGTAAAAAAATGCCCAGAGTTTAACTCATTTACAGACATTTAGACTTTCATGTATTAAGGCAAATGTGCTGCTTGTATGAAAAGAAGCTCACATTTGGTTGTATTACTTAATCCTCAGTAAAATTATGGCACTGATTGAATTCACCATTTCTGGCTAATCCAGAAAATATATATTCAACAATGACCTTGAAACATAAACAGTTAATCTAACTTGTTGATGAACAGTTGCAGTTATAATTGGCAATCTGGAGAATTATGCCATGAGATTTTCATATTAGCCTGCAGAGGGCACCAATACTTTAGTTTAATCTTCGAGGCACCAAAATTCTACTATTCAGCATTTTCCAACCAACTGGAGGAAGATTGCTGGTTGTGGCGTACAATTTTGCATCTTTGAAGTCCCTCATCTGTCTGCATTTTGGTTGGGTCTTCTGTTGTTCCAAGACTCTGGGCCAGGCCATCACTTGAAGAATGGTCAGCCAAGCTCCACATTGCACAATAAAAAGTTATCACCATTAGAATCTTTGAAATTAAGGTGTGAAAAGTTCCGAGTCAGGAGAATTTTAAGGCATCCAGTTGCCAGTTTATTTTGACCTAAAATGATAAATTGAAAGATAAATGAATCAAATATTGCATAAATGTTCAAGTATTTGTAAAACTTCAAATAACAATTACATTTTCAACACACTTGATAACATCAGTAGAACTCTGAGAAGTATTTGATTTTAGAGGGCAGTTGCACACCGGCAGTACTGATGTGCAACTGAAGAATGATTTCAATCATCAACTTTTTTTAAGGATCCAACTCATCCAAGCTGTTGGAATCAGAAATCAAGGTGCATTGTCAGTGAAATTTAGATGTTTGGATGCATGCTTTGTCACTTTTTACTAAGGTGTCCAGGAACCTGCATTGCAAAACTTAATGTGGCTTGTTACAACTGAGGTGCTCCCTGCCTTTTAACCATGCCCCCATCCCCTGCTCACAACAAATATTTTAAATGCTTTTTTTAGGCATGCAGCCATATCACATTTCAGTTAAAAATAGCACCAAAATGAAGCTGCCAATTACTAGATTCTCTTAAGTGGAAGAAATAATAATTTTATTCTTACTAACCCTAAGAAAAATAATGAAATGTGTCACCGAACACAAACAAACCAGGTATAAAGTTTAAAAAGGGGAGAATGTGTAGTACAAAAGGAATTTCATTAGAGTCCTTGAAGTCTTGGATTTTAACCTGAGACCACAGCTGCTTAATTGATGACTTATATCCTCAGCAGTAGTCAAATCTGTTATCACCATTGAGTTCTTGACTGAATGTACTTCCAATTTGCTTTATCACTAGGTGATTTTTTTTGAGACTAAGAGGAAACACAGGAAAGTAAAGGGAGAGAAAGAGTCTTCCAGTGCTGCTGTTACTAAGCCACTTTCCTTCCTCTTTGCCTAAAAGCTTTTGTCTGAAATACAGTTCACTTATGTATTCCCATATTTGGCTTCATTATTTTTTAAAACTAGAAAAAAATTAGGTGGCTTTCATCCAAATATTCCAAAACTCCAGAAAGATGTAAATCAACCAGAAGGTACCGATCTCAGTTTCAATGCTTTTTTTTAAAACAATTAGTGTCTTTATGAGCTTGGTTTAACCTGGCGACCTCTGTGGTCACCTTAAGTCAGTGCTTTTCCTTTTTTAAAATCATCATCCATGAAAGGTCCCAGTGTAAAGACTGTATCTTTTTGTTTCTCCTGTGTTTTTGATTGCAGACTGAAATGGGAAGAGACTGTTTTAAAGATCAGGGATTACTGCACTTTTTTTTTTACCATCAAGATACCTGACACTCATTTTAAGCATTGTTTACACTGTTGTTCAAGCAATGGGGGGGTGGGAGGGGAATATAGTTACCGATGAGCTGGAATGAAAGGCTGTATGAGAATGGAGATTTGGCTGGTAACAGCAGCTGATTGGATTGGGCAGTGGTGAACTGTTGTCAATGACAAAGACTTTCTGCTTCCCAACACTGTGATTGGCTCCCAGGTAGCTGAACAGCTTGTTCATGTGAATGTTTGGACAAAGATCATTGGACCTCCAGAGAGAAAGGGACTTAACTTCTCTGCAGTTTTAAAAAAAAAACTCCAGTTTGAAGAAAGACAGTTTATTTCCTTCATCAGTTTCTGTCAACTGCGGTTATTAATCAATAAGTTAGAGGTCTTATATGTGAATAAGTTACCATGTGCTGCCCGCAAACAAGTGAAAATACCTGAAGAAGGATTAATGAGGAGCAGCAGGACCTGACAAGCTAAAAGGATCATGTCAGTGAACTGTGTGGACAGGAACCATTGAAACACCTTCCTTCCATTCATGACACCCATTCCTTTTTTTTGTCTGTCTGTACATGTATTTTCATACCATCCTGTTCAGAGATGTTATGATAAACCTCACAAGAGATGGGACTTGAACTCAGGTCTCCTGGATCAGAGATAGGGACCTTGCACCACTAGTGGGGTTATATGTTGATGGCTCATTACTGTTTATGTGTAGCTAGAAGCTATTGATTTGAGATTTAAAAAAAATATCTCTTGTTAAGCACAGAAATTTGGTCTATGCTTTCTGTCAACCTGGGTCTGAACGACAGATAAATTTGGGAATTTTACATCTTGTCACAAAAATTAAAGATTTTATACAACTCTGGGAATATTGGGGCTTGATTTCCAGTGTGTTAGCCCAGTGAGATAGAACATTGAGTATTATAATCATATAATAGAAATTGAAAATTGATAGTTTTAACAATATCTAAGCAGATTTAGAATTCAAACTATCAGATCCAGGATCCATGGATTTATAGGTTCGATAAATAGCAATGAACCAACGCGTCCGTTTAGCTAAATTAATTGTTGGAAAACTGCAATAGTTATAATTTTATAACCTTTTCCTTGTCCTCAATGCAGATTATTTATAACCAATTCCTTGAGAACTAATTGCTCCTACAAGTCTGGTGTCCTACAACAAAGTACATTTGGAAAGAATTAGACAATCATTATTATTTAATATTTGGAAACTAGAGTACAACACTAAATATAAATAACGAGGGAAAAAGCAACAGCACTAATAGAATGGTAGAGAACTAAACCCTAAACCTGAGACTAGATGAGAACTGTATTGATATTCTCACCAGAGAAAGAAATTTGAGTGCTGCTACACCAGCCAATGTGCAGCTATAATATTTTTGACTGATTTAGTTTTATTTTAAGTTAAATTTGTGGTTGAAATTTGTAAAAGCGATTCAACTCAGTGGCGGTGCCAGTAGTGTAAATGAAATACAAAAGGCTATACAGAAACTGACCAATCATACCAGCATGCATTACAAAGGCCATAAAGCTTTTAAATTAAAATGGCGTGTTAAAAGCTGCAGGCTTTTCTCTCACAAATGAATAGTCATTGATTTGTTACAAATTGAAACAAATGAACAGACATACTTCAAAGCTGTTATATTTCGAGAACAAGCTGGTTTGATAAATAACAAGAAGCCAAAGTATCTGTTTAGCTAACTTAATTGTTGGAAAACTGCAAGAACATTGCCCAAACTGATGTTGATGATCTTAGAGTTTCTACTCTTTTAAACGCAGAGAAACTAACGCTATAAGAATCCACAAGTGGAATTTTCTCATTTTCAGTTAGTATTTTGGCGAGTGAAATTCATGGCATCAATTTCATGCCACAGCTCACATGAAATTTCTCATGCAATCTTCAACTCTTTACCCCATTAGTTATGCAAATGAACTCTTGGATGCCATTCTCAGGGAATCATGCAGGTAGAGAGGTGGGAGTGTTTGCCACTGCTGGGACCTTCCTGAATTTACACTGCTGATACCATATTTAAAGTCAAACTGCACTTCAGATATTGCAAGCTGGGAATAATCTCACTCACTGTGCCACTAGAGACTTTACATTCAGGATTTGGCCCAAAAGAGAGCTTTGTAAATGGGGACCTGGAGGCGTAGGTAGACTGTACTGGAGAGAAGAGCATTTCAGCTGGCTTCCATCGGAGGCCACACCAGCAGACCAAGCCAACCTGTGCACAAATTGTAACCCACATTAGTGCTGAGTCTTGAGTGAAACAGGGTACTCGGTGCAGGAAGAAGTTCACAAGTATTCTCTCTGCTACCTCACACTCAGAAGCCACCACTCACTCTAACTCTGCCACTACACACACATCTCATCAAGGATCATGGAATAGACCTCTCGGTATTACATGCCTCATGTCTCCTTAATCCCTCTCACTCACCTCATCTGCACAAACTACTAATCCTTCCTGTCCTCTGTGCCTACTGCTCATTTTCTGGGGCCAGTCTATCACTTCTGATAGTACTTTTTGTGATGATGCATATCTATCATAATCAGGTCTTCATTTGTCTCAATGCTGGAAAATCTGGCCCAAATCCCACAGATTGATATCTCCATGTTATCCCAACTGACCACAGATTAATCCCCGGACTGGTTGCACTTGACCTGCAGGACTGACTGTGGCTCATTCCCAAGAATTTAAAGACACAGCTCCCCAGAATCTGATTGGACTGGCACCTGATCGGCAGTGGCCAATCTCCTGGACTGGAATCAGATGAGCTCCTTGACTAACTGGTCATAGACCCTTTCACCCCACTAAGGATTTTAACTTTCACACAGAAAGCTTGAAGCACATGCAGTATATTTTTGACATGAGCTGCAGGTACATGCTGTGATGTTGATATGCCATTGAGCTGAACAGTGACATGTCCATCCCTGGACTGTTCATTGCTCTCCACCATTACAAGCTGCCTGCCTCTCTTCCATGCTAAAACGCAAAGCAAGCTACAGAAGCTAGAACCTGTAACTGAGTACTGAAGAGCCGTTGTGCTAAGAAAGCAATTTGACCTGCATAAAGCATAGCAGCCCATAAATCCGCGAAGGCGGTGACTATGTGCTAAGAAAGCAATGTTAAATATACAGAGGATGGCAGCCTCCAAGTAAGTGCAAAGTGAGTGAGCACTAAGAAGTTGAGGGTCGCTTTTAAAATCTCTGATATCATTTAACTGCTATTATAGCACTAATTAGTTTACCAAATTTCTCACATATGAGAAAAACAGGAAAAATCACAGTTTCACAAGAATGACTGAGGTCACAATGCCCTATTCAACTAATGTCAACAATTTACCTGGTGCCATCTGCACCTTATTATCAATGAATTGTTTGGGAAATGAGAAGTTTTTGTCCTTAGAAAGAATGTTAAACTGACCTTCAAATGAAGGTGGTCAAGGAGACCATGGTCATCCTGATATCATCGAATAGCTACCTGTAGTCATTGGCCAATACGATTCAGAGAGGTGATTGCAGAATAGAGTGCCAGCCCCCAAAATAAGATATATATGAGAAGTAGATGGGAAGTGAGTGAGAAAGAGGGTCCAGCAAAATGAGTCATCATGTTTTTGGGAGAAGACCAGATGTTTGAGGAGACAACAAAGATAGTTACCACCAGAGACTGTGAAACAATCCCACCATGCCAAACCATAGGGGCCCACTGCCACTTTCTCCAATCTACAGAACCACTTCAGATTTAGTAAAGTG